ATATTTAGTTTGAAGAGGAAGTATTGGTTTTACATTTATTTGGAGACAAAGTGTTTAACTTGAGCTTGGTACTGCAGGTATCCTGCATTGTTTAAAAACTCACACAATGAGTTTATAATCAGAGTGAAGTGTTTGGAACCTATTCTATTCCCTAATAGGTCACTTTCGTGTGGCCTAGCAGAAGTAAAGAGTGAAACTGACTAGTGCATTTCAAATTGATGCATAAACAGCACAGCCATAGTCTTGAGCAAGCAGTAAAGGGAAAGCAAGTATAAGAATGGAAAAGGAATAAAGAGATGTTGAAGACAGATTACATAGAACAAAGTATCAGAAGATGATGTAAGGAAAGTGCAGGAGAAAAAAAATCAAAAGCAAACTGATCAAAATTAAGGTGGCAACTGTGTGACTTGCAATTACTTTGTCACAAATCAACAAAATAGTGATAATTGGATTTGTTGACAAATGAAGTTCAGAGAATTTGCTAGTTCCCCCACCTGCACCCTCCCCCCCTTTTTTAAAAAAAAAAAAAACACATGAAATGTGTAAAATGTTACTTTACGGACCTGACCTTGGAAGATATTGACTGCCACCTGCAAAAGCAATAAGCACCCTCCACTACCATGGAAATTTAGGGCAGGGATGGCCAGCCTGAGCCTGAGAATTTACCAGTGTACATTTGCCAAAAGAGCCACAGTAATAAGTCAGCAGCACCCCCAACAGCTTCTCTTCCCCCCCCACCCCAGCTTCCAGTGCCTCCCACCCACCAGCAGCCTCCCCATCCCTCCCAATCAGCTGTTTCATGGTGTGCAGGAGGCTCTGGTGGGGAGGGGGAGGAGTGAGGGCACGGCAGGCTCAGGGGAGGGTGCAGAAAGGGGTGGAGTGGGGGCAAGGCTTGTGTCAGAGCCAAGGGTTGAGCAGCCAGCACCCCCTAGCACACTGGAAAGTTGGTGCCTGTAGCTCCAGCCCTGGAGTCAGTACCTATACAAGGAGCCGCATATTAACTTCTGAAGAGCCGCACGTGGCTCTGGAGCCACAGGTTGGGTGTTCAGTAGGTCATAGGGCTAGTGATGTACTTTTAATAGTACATCTACTTTCCAGATCACATGCACAGGCACAAGCCTGCAGTTTTGGGGCTTCAAGCTCTGCAGAGAAATATTTGTCAGATGGCATCCAGAGGTTTTTGGTTTATTTTAAAGACAGTCTTAATGGCTAAGTCTAAAAACTTTCTCTAAAACAGGATTTATAATAAGGTGCCATCTGACCCAAGTGTCCCCCTTTTGAAAACACACACTCCTTGCCAGAAATCTGGCAGGGAGGCACAGCTGCAGTGTGCATATTGTTGTGTATTAATTCAGATTTCTTCAAATCAGACTAGGTACTTTTACAAATACCCTTTTATCAAAAAAAAATTTCATCCAAAATGGATAGTGGTCCAACTAATGCAGTGAGAAAGTGGAAAACCTAAAAAGCTTATTTTGAAGATAACAAAAAAGGAACTGGAATTGTACTCTTGCTTAAAAATTAAGTTTTACAAAGCCCCAAAATAAGTTTTTCTACTTTATTTCACATCAGAAATTCAAGTCTTCTCTACCCTAGAAGACTACAGGTGACTAGAGAACTAGTCGTTTTTGAGTTTGGTTATATTTTTTAAAGCACCAAGGATTGAGAGAAGGGATTTTTATTCCGACAGACAGCCTTGAACAAAAAATTGTTATAGACAAATTGTGGGAGAAAAGTTCTTTGTAAAAGGTTCAAACACCCCTACCCATTCACCTAAAAGCTGAGGAAGCTTCCGATCAATGATTCATCCAAGAAATCCAAGAGATAAGAAAGAAACAGGGATCCAAACACCATTCAGGTTTTTATACCCCATGAAGCAGCAAAGGCAGCACAAGCTAAATGTTCTTTTCCTTTTCAGGTCACTTTAAAGGAACCAACAACAGTTTAAAAGTGAGGCTTGGTCTATGCTACCAACTTATGATGGTATAATTATGATGCTAAGGGGCGTGAAAAATTCACACCCTTCAGAAATGCAGTTATACCAACCCAACTCCTCATGTAGACAGTGCTACGTCGAGGGAAGGGCTTCTCCTGTTGACATAGCTACCGCTTCACAGGGAAGTGGAGTACCTATGCCAATGGCAGAAGCTCTCCCATCGGCATAGGTAGCATCTTCACTAAGCACTGCAGCTGCACCACCGTAAGCTTAGACAAGCCCTCTGTGGGAACACTAAATGCCTCTATGCATGGAGACTACCAGAAACAGCTACTTCACTTTAAATGCACACCCTACCCTAATCAGAGTTAACTTTCATGTGTAGATAAGCCCTAAGAATTGTCTAATATCTAAGCTAAAACACACAACTCTATATTGCTGGAAATACATGAGTCAATGCTGAAGTGCCTCTCAAAAAGGAGACCCAGCATCTCCTTGCCACTTACCTAGCAGCAAGCTTTATTCATAGGGCCCTACCAAATTCATGGTCCATTTTGGTGAATTTCAGGGTCACAGAATTTTAAAAATAGAAAATTTCATTATTTCAGATATTTAAATATGAAATTTCACGGTGTTGTAACTGTAGGGGTGTCATAAATATAAAGGGAAGGGTAAACCCCTTTGAAATCCCTCCTGGCCAGGGGAAAGCTCCTCTCACCTGTAAAGGGTTAAGAAGCTAAAGGTAACCTCGCTGGCACCTGACCAAAATGACCAATGAGGAGACAAGATACTTTCAAAAGCTGGGAGGAGGGAGAGGAACAAAGGGTCTGTGTCTCTCTGTATGCTGCTCTTGCCAGGGACAGAACAGGAATGGAGTCTTAGAACTTTTAGTAAGTAATCTAGCTAGGTATGTGTTAGATTATGATTTCTTTAAATGGCTGAGAAAAGAACTGTGCTGAATAGAATAACTATTTCTGTCTGTGTATCTTTTTTGTAACTTAAGGTTTTGCCTAGAGGGGTTCTCTATGTTTTTGAATCTAATTACCCTGTAAGATATCTACATCCTGATTTTACAGGGGGGATTTCTTTATTTCTATTTACTTCTATTTTTTATTAAAAGTCTTCTTGTAAGAAAACTGAATGCTTTTTCATTGTTCTCAGATCCAAGGGTTTGGGTCTGTGGTCACCTATGCAAATTGGTGAGGCTTTTTATCCAACATTTCCCAGGAAAGGGGGGGTGCAAGTGTTGGGAGGATTGTTCATTGTTCTTAAGATCCAAGGGTCTGGGTCTGTAGTCACCTAGGCAAATTGGTGAGGCTTTTTACTAAACCTTGTCCAGGAAGTGGGGTGCAAGGTTTTGGGAAGTATTTTGGGGGGAAAGACGCGTCCAAACAGCTCTTCCCCAGTAACCAGTATTAGTTTGGTGGTGGTAGCGGCCATTCCAAGGATAACGGGTGTAATATTTTGTACCTTGGGGAAGTTTTGACCTAAGCTGGTAAAGATAAGCTTAGGAGGTTTTTCATGCAGGTCCCCACATCTGTACCCTAGAGTTCAGAGTGGGGGAGGAACCTTGACAAGGGGTCCTAACCCAACTGAAGGCAGCAGGGCAGAAGTAAGGGCAGCATGGTATGGTATTGCTGCACTGCTACTGGTGGGGCACCGACTTCAGAGCTGGAAGCCAGCTGCCACCGCTCTCTGGCCACCCAGCTCTGAAGGCAGCACAGAAGTAAGGGTGGCAATACCACAACCTCCTACAATAACTGTGCGACCCTCCCCCCCCCACCACGAAAAAAAATCCTTTTTTGGGTCCCCCCAGTTTGAGAAATGCTAGTCTCCCGTGAAATCTGCATATTATAGGATAAAAGTACACAAGACTAGATTTCATGGTCCATGATGCATTTTTCACAGCTGTGAATATGGTAGGGCCCTCTCCATTACCCTTACCACAAAATGTCCTTTGCGCGCCTCCCTCCCCCCACAAAATCCTCTCCATGCAAGGGGCACTATGCACTCCTCACAATTCCTCCACCACAGACCAGGGGCTCTATTGTCCCTCTTGTTCCTTTCCCCCCCAAAACAGGGTCCCCCATCCTCCCTGACAGGGGCTCTGTGCACACCTCTATTACTCCTTCCCCTGTCATCTCTTTTCTTTCCATCTGAGATATAAATGTAAAATGTCAACATTACCTGTACTGAAACCATGGGCATAGCCATCGTGGTGTTACTGTTGTACTGTGGGGATTTTTATATGGACACACAAATATCCATGTACACATACATCTGAGAGGGTTATAACTGGACAGCTAAGTCAGATGGGTTTTTATTTAGTTCTGAATCCAGCAAGGGTGGCTATTATTTAGTTCAGTCATTTTCGTCTTATTGAGTATCATTACATCTGTTCTACATCGGATTCATTATTGAAATTTTAACCTGTTTAGCACTTCCCTAACTAAAGCAATTAAATGTTATTTAACCAGTCCTCCTTGATTAAGCTAAACCACACAGAAGACCCTTAGGTTAGGTCTATGCTTAAATTACGTTAACGCAATGACATCAGTGAGGGATGCAAAAAAAAAGCTACATGCAATTAACAGTTATGACAACATAACCCCCAATACAGATTTAGCTATGTTGACAAAGGAATGCTTCCATTGACATAGCTAACTTTGTCCAAGGAGCCACTACTCCCACAGATGGAAAAAACCTGTTCTGTTGGCATAGTCTGTGTCTACATTACAGGAGTATGCTGGCTTTAGTGCAGGATAAGAGTGTCTGCATAGGGAGCTAGCACAGAATAGCTATTCCCCCCTGCAGACAAGTTCTTAGTCCTGTTTTAACTAATACCCAATAAGCTGTTGTGAAATGGGTAAGGTAGAAACACATACCCAGTATGACAAAAACCAAAAAAGCAGACACTTAACAGAACACAACCTACTACCCCACCCATCGTACCATAAGCCACCACCTTTCTCTGCCCTCTCAACCCACCTTCTTGCATACACCTTAACCAAACTACTCCTTCCCAACACTATTAGGTGTTACTGTTTTGTGTAGTAATTTATTATGAGGGGAGTGGGTAGCATGATAAAAGATATGCAAGACTGGTATCCCTATAGTGACAATTAGTGTATTGACTGCAGTAATGGCATGGCACATACCTGTGGAGGGCATGTACCATTAGGTGGTTTAATTTTTCATATCCTAGTTTTTGTGGTTGTATGTCAGTCACATTATGTGTAGCAATCTTGCCTGTTTTCACAGAGTTGTGCACTAATTTCCTAGGTTTTTTTAATCTTTAACTTACTCCACAATGGTAACAAGCTAGTGAAACTGGATTATAACATCATTCCAATGATGCTGAGCTACACTAAAGATGCATGCTCAAAGCAAAGAAAGTAAAAAGCATTTAGCTACATAAATTGCTCAATTATCCCCATTTGTGAAATGGAACACTGAGGGACCGGGTACATTAAGCAAATCTATTGAACTCATGTAACAGGTCTGTGGCTGAGCTAGGAATTAAACCTAAATCTCTGAGTCTCAGGTCAGTGCTCTATCCACTGAACCATCTTTCCTACCCTTGAACACACAAATGCAATTGCAGTTAATGGAAGCTGTGGATGCACAAAGGTTCGGAGGGAAGGGCAGGGGAAGAAAATGAGCTTATGTCTTCCTGAATTCATACAAGTTTTTCTTTACTTACACTCAGTAAACACTGAGATCTATTAAGGTTTGTCTACACATGGCATTATTCAGGAATAGCCCTTAAAGGAAAAAGGAGTTAGCCTATGTCCTTTTGTATGAAGGTGGCCTGAAAGGATTTTTTTTTTTGTGAAAACCTAACTACTTATTTTACATTAAAGATGCAGATCTTGTCTGGCCCAGAAGACTATGATGGAGAGCCAGTGAAATGCTACCACCGTAAAACCTGAGTGAAAACTAAGCAATGGAGAGATGAGAGGATTTAGCGGGGGAGAAGGGAGGGATATTAACACCTAAACTTCAATGACTGATCCAGGTAACAAAAAATTACTCTAACAAGTCACCTTTAGACTAAACAGATAAGCCTATTTTAAAAAAATTCTTTGCATATCACCTTGAAAACAAATTTTAAATATAGGGTGCTGTCATGTTTGTGAGAAGATACCTGTCCCTTTTCTGATCTGAGTTTACCCTCTCAGATGGTAGTCCTCTTACCCAAATCGGATAAGTGTGTCATCTTGTGGTTCTTATCAGAGTATGGCTACATGGAGGGGAAGTGTGTTCTTAATTCAGGTTAGCTAATGAGTTAAAACAGTGAAGAGACAGCAAAACTGCTTTTAACTCAGGTTAGCAGCTGGAGTTGCAGCCTACAGGAGTATAGCTATGTTGCAATGTAAGCCTGGGCTCAGGATAAGGCTCAGGCTTGAGCACAAATGCCCTTTCCAACCACACACAAATCTGACTCAGATCCAGGGTCCTAGGACTCCACAAGGTTAGAGGGTTCAAGCCTGAGTCAAGCAGAGACCCAGGGTTCAAGCCCTATCACTCTGCAGGGTAGATGCAGACCTCCCCACTTGGTCCTGGGAGTCCACCAGAAGTATGCTATAATCGCACGGGCCCTCTTCCTTGGTCCTCTTCCCCCCTCCCGGGGGACAGAAGCAATCCCCTTTTTGTAGTACAGCAGCTTAGCAAGTCAGTATTTAACCCTTCCATTTATTCTGCCCAGCGAGTTGCGAACACATTTTGGGAGAATCTTCTAAATCGGCAATGGACACTGACCAGAAAAGTCCTTTGCAAAGCACGCTGCTTCATGGTCATGGGAACACAGCCCGATATTGATTAATCTCTGATGCGAGGCAAGCAAAAATAATAGATTTTAGCGAGACTACCACTAATGACCACACATACCAGCAAGCAATGAAGAAGCCAGCAACACTGGAAATTTACCACATCAGTGACCAGTGCAGAGCGCAGATTAAACAGCTCAAGACAGAATACTGGAAAACCAGGAACCAGAAGCCCATCTTGGACAACCTACTGACATTATACCCGTTTTATGATGTGTTTGACCAAGTGCTGGGCACTGCACTGAGTGCAGCGTCAACAACAGTGCACGATGACCTAATCAGGCGCGATGGCGATCTAGTGCCCTTGGAATCTAGCATTGGAACTGTGGGGAACCAGCAGCAGTCACCAGCTGAGACTAGTGAAGCGACCCTTCTGTGACACTGGTCCCAAAGGAGATTTTGCTGTAGGAGCTGCAGTACATTCTGGAGCTGTACTTGGAAGAGCTTTTTGATCCCCCCTCCCCCCCACACCCTGAGGAAAGAACGGCTGTGGAACTGGCAGCAAAAATGAAACAGGCAGCAGCTGCCTGGAGCTTGGTAAGTTTTTGGCTCCATTTTAATGTTTATTAATACAGAAATGTGAGGGATCTCCTTTCTATGAACCATTGCAAAAGATATTACAAGCCCCAGATAGCAGTGTTTCTCCACTAATGGTGGATTACATGCCAGCACTGTGGCATCCCTCCGCCACTGTCCCTTCTCGCCCTGCGGAATTCAAAATGGCAACTGGGCAATGTAAACAAAAAAAAACACTCCTCAAAAAGTGAATTTTCACAAGGAAGGCACATTTTTACTAGGACATTATTTTAACAGCAACCTTACATTGCTATCCCCATAAGCATGCCAGTTTGTAATCACTCAACTGTGCAATGAGCCATCTGAAAACAGTGAACTCTGGGTGGAGGTGTAGAAATGGGTTCTCTTTACAAATCTAGTCCATAGGTCATTAAATTTCTCCCAAATACAACTGGAGGTTTGAATTTTGTCCAGCTACATGCTGAGGAGGGGGGCTAAGCAGGATGACAGCACAGCAGACAGTGTTTGCATGCAACAGGCTAAGCCATATGGACTCAAACAGCACCCAGTTGATTGCCTCAAATTCTAACCCAATCCTGTGGGCTAATAGCTTCAAGCTTTTCCTGTAACAGGAACTCCAGAGAGGTAGCCACAATTCTGGGAAAAAGCATATTTTCCAGGGCCACCTCAGTAACTAGCCACCCTACTCCACACACAGATGTGCTGTTCACTCTCTATACATTTGAATACTTTGTGGCATGCACTGCTGTTTTCCCACCAGCAGCTTGGAATAACTTCTTTGCCAACCACAAGAACTTATGTCCTCCAAAATGAGGAATGCCTGAAATGCTAGAGAAGCCTTTTGTAGCATGTAGGGAAAAAAAGCAGCTGTGATTTTTAACTTGCCATTTTTTGCTGCAACTAACCTGACTGTGTTCAGGGAGCGTCTGTGGTCTGAAACATCCCTCTCACAATATTCTGAAATCCGGTTTTAGAAAGTAACGTTTAGTGCCCTTGAAATTCCACAAGTATTTTTTCTGTGCTCCTGCACTGAGCTATTTGAGACAATGACCCTCTGTCTTGTCCTATTCCAGCCCCTTGACCTCTACAAGTTACAGTAACTCCACAGCATGCCCACAGTGCGGCAGAAGCCTGGGTCAACGTAACTTCAGACCATTCCTAGAGGAGCATTTGTGATGAACTTATGGTTGAAGTACTGGAAAGGGCTAACAAGCAGCTTCAATACCAAAGACAGAGGGACTTATGGCTAGAGGACGGGCATGGCAAAAGGCAAGCAGAAAGATTGCACAGCTTGAGGATAGGATTTCAGCATGAGAGCAGACCTTTGCTTCACAGTTCCTAGAACAGTTACAGCAGTTACAGGAGGATGACAAATCTCAGCAGAAAGCTGTCTGAGCAGCTGCTATCATTAATGACTCCAAGAGTACTGGTTCCTGCTGTACCTGCACCATGGCCTAAGTCCCTAGCGCAGTGCCCTCTGCTGCAGCCCAGGAACAGCTTGGACAACTCCATAGATGAATGACCCCTGCAATCAGGCCCCATCAGCAGCTGGGCAAGGCAACTGTGCCCCTTGCAGTCCTCCATACCGACCCCCCTCCCCTGTGGACATCTCTACCCCCCAACCCCTGGTGCCAAGGGCACAGCAAAGGAAAAGAAGAAAGGGAGAATGGCCAGGGACATGCAACAGTAAATGGCTTCTGTCTTGTTCAAACAGTGAAACCATGTGTTTATTCCTGCACTTTGTTCTTTTTTTAAAAAAAAAGTTGTTTGTTACTGATGTTTTGGTGTGGTAATGGCAGCTGGCCTGCCTGGCAACCGGTTAAAGTGTTTGTTGGTTATAAACCTTTTTAAAATAAAAAGCTTTACCACTACATCACATCATACAAAGTATTTCAAATGAAGGTAACAAGGGATCAGGGACAAGTGGAAATTTGTATGCAAACACTTTCTCAATACAGTTTGCTTTAAGGAATGTATGGATTGATGCAGCTATCTATACTGTGATTCAACTCCCTCCCCCACTTGATAAGTCAGGTCATCCATAAGTACACTATACGGCAGTCAACCCCTTCCTACCACAAGCACATTCATAAAGGTACTGTTCTTCTATTGGCCTATGCAAGTCCATATTGTGGGAGCACAAAGCATCCCTGACTTTTGTTGCCCAGGTACATCCAGCTCTAGCTGTGGTAGGTGCACCTTTCAGCTTAGTGTACTGGTTCAACAGTCTATCACTGTCACAGGTCCATTCAGAGGGAAATGGCGCATCTTTGGCTTCACAAAGATTGTGAAGAGCGCAGGAAGCCACAGTAATGCGTACAGCACTGACAACACTGGAATCCAAACAAGTCTGTAGACTTCTCCAGTAGGATTTCTACCACCATTTTATACCTGCTGAGAGGGTAATTAAACCTTTTACCAAAGTTCTGTGATATCAGAGGTACAGTTTCACAAGCCTGTACGTGGGGTCTCCAGAACAATGATGGGCAACAGTACTGTTGGGTATTAGAAAGCATTTCCCTAGGTGGAAACAGTCTGATCACATCTCTAATGTCAAGCACACACCCCTTTTTGGGATACAAATCTATATATGCAATTAACAGATATTTAAGACAGCACAGCATCCCCCAGGAGGTCTGATAATCTGCTGACTACCTGATATAAAGAGACTTCTTACAGCAGTCTGAATCAATATGAACATTACAACCCACACAAAGCTATACTTGAGACCCAATCCAAAATAAGCATGTTACTAAATAACGCCTACCATCTCCAGAAGAGAAAACAGGTTCCATGAATATACAAAAAAATTGAGTCTAAGGTACTATTCCACAAGTGAAATTAGTGGTCTCTTGAAAAGGCCTGTTTGTAGTTTCATTTAAAAGGATCCTCATTCCCTTCTGTTCCTCTAACAAATACTGTTTGTGTGCTACAGTTTAAGATTATAGCACGACAGATGGTAAGATGTACTGAATATCCTGCTACAGATGGCGAATTTTGCTCACAAATCCTGAAGTATTTTAGTTTGGATGTTACAGTAAAATGGATCTGTCATTGCTTAAACATTCTATATCTTTATACTGAAGTTACACCTTGGTTCACAAAAAATTCCACTTGCTTACAAATAGTATGCACTTACATCCCTATGTATACAAAAATAGTTTCCAGAGGAAAACCATTCTGAAGGAATCATTGGGGCAACAATTTTCATATAGGCTCAGGTTTCAGAGTAACAGCCGTGTTAGTCTGTATTCGCAAAAAGAAAAGGAGTACTTGTAGCACCTTAGAGACTAACCAATTTATTTGAGCATGAGCTTTCGTGAGCTACAGCTCACTTCATCAGATGCATACCGTGGAAACTGCAGCAGACTTTATATACACACAGAGATCATGAAACAATACCTCCTCCCACCCCACTGTCCTGCTGATAATAGCTTATCTAAAGTGATCATCAGGTGGGCCATTTCCAGCACAAATCCAGGTTTTCTCACCCTCCACCCCCCCCCACAAATTCACTCTCCTGTTGGTGCTAGCAGCAAACCTGGATTTATGCAGGAAATAGCCCGACTTGATTATGTCAAGAGTTGTCACTTTGGATGGGCTAGCACCAGCAGGAGAGTGAATTTGTGGGGGGGGGGTGGAGGGTGAGAAAACCTGGATTTGTGCTGGAAATGGCCCACCTGATGATCACTTTAGATAAGCTATTACCAGCAGGACAGTGGGGTGGGAGGAGGTATTGTTTCATGATCTCTGTGTGTATATAAAGTCTGCTGCAGTTTCCACGGTATACATCTGATGAAGTGAGCTGTAGCTCACGAAAGCTCATGCTCAAATAAATTGGTTAGTCTCTAAGGTGCTACAAGTACTCCTTTTCTTTTTGCATATAGGCTCAGTGAATATAAGCCATTCACAAGACAGAACCTAGGAGTTTCTCTTCTTAAATTAGGGCCATCATGTCCTCCAAAAAGCCTCAGGAAGATTCACCTTGACTAGTCCCAGTGACCTACTCCTCCTCACAGGCCTCATCAAGAAAGGGTTAGAAAGCCCTATCTTATACCCCTCCCCACTAAGTTTTCCTTTCTACAGTCTTTCCTCCTGTTTCCACCTTATTGGTTGCCAGCTTTCTCCAGTCATTGGAAACAGGACTGAACGGCCTGCAGAAACAGGAGGTGCTACTCCTAGGTCACGTGTTCATTACTGAAGCAACATGAGATTACTACCATCCCAAAAGCCAGAGGAATAGTCACTTGGAAGTACGAGTGTGATACCAAGCCATCTGACTAGTCCAGGATTTGGAAGAGGGTTGCAGCTTTAAAGGAAAACCTGTGCTGTATCTTGAGAAGCTGGTTTAGAACTCTGATTTGTTTTATCAATTTCAAGTGATGGGCCTTGTGAGTCAACTGTCTTAAAAAGCAAATGCTTTCTAGGCAGATAGTTTTGACTTCTGCTACTGGTAGCCTTCACAGAATTGATTCCCCTGAGAAGTTTAGAGAAATAGTAAGTACTCTTCCACCACACCATTTACATTCCTTTTAAAAAAATGTATGGCTCATAGGTATCTAGTAAGGTTGCCAAACCACTAACTGTAGTTAGAGCCATTAGAGATTGGGTTAACCATATACTATGGGCAAGTCTACACTATCATGCCACTTCAGCACAGCTGCACCGCTGTAGTGCATCTGGTGAAGACGCACTATGCTAACAGGACAGCACTCTCCCATCAGCATAATTACTACACTTAAACAAGAGGCAGAAGCTATGTTGGAGGGAGAGTGTCTCACACCGAAATAGTGCCATATGGGCACTGCTTTAAGTCACGTTGCTCAGAGGAGTGGATTTTCACACCCTTGAGTGACGTAAGTTACACTGACTTAAATGGTAGCCTAGACAAGCCCTATTTACAAAATTTACCAGACATCTAGAAACCCATAAATAGAACCAAAACAGAGACTGGCCCCAGCAAGAGCCAATAGCCAGAGTCTACTGAATGGGCCCAGAGCTCCACTGTCACAAGCTGCCAACAATGGGGCAGGTTACTAGGATTTCTACCAAAAGTTTGTTCTTAGAATTTGTTCAGGAGTTCACTCTTTTGTATCAGACTTATGCTTAAAGGTTTGAAACTCTTCCTACAGCTGCAGGAAGAGGAAACTTTGTATCTCTTTTCTTCTCTCTTCTACTATTCCCCCAGCACTTTTGCTCTTTTATCCACCAGGGCTAGCATATACTCAAGTCTTTGCCAGAATAGCTATGCCAGCAAAGCCCCCTAATGCAGCTACAGCGAAAGGAATTTTTGTTGGCATAGTTAGCCACCTCCACAAACCTTATAAGCTCTACTCTCAAAAGGATTCTTGCCAGTCTGAGCTGCATCTACACAGGGGATTTCATTGGCATTGTTATATCAGTTAGTGGTGTGATCTTCCACAATCCTGACCAAGATAGCTATGCTGGCAAATCTCTGTAGAGTACAACTTGCCTCCGTAAAATGCTCACTTTTGCTGCTGTTCAGTTTTCCCAGACCAGCAGCACAAAAGTGATCATAGTCTTGATTTTTGCTTTTTGTCAACTGCTTTAAATAGCAGCAATAAAATTGATCAGTCTTGTTAGCTTTTTTTAAGCAGCGGTGTGAAACCGTGAGCTGTCAAAAACACAGGAGCTGTCTGAAGTGATCCAGGTCTAAGACCACATTGGTTATATTTGAACATTATCTTTATAACCCTGAAAACTATGGAGTTGTTTGCTTTTAAACTCAAGTTATGCAGACATTGATAGTACAGATCCCATAACTAGCCGTGGCAAATTTCTCCCTGAAAAGACTTCATAGACTCCAAGGCCAGAAGGGACTGTTGTGATCATCTAGTGTGACTTCCTGTACAAAGCAGGATGCAGAACTTCCCTGGAATAGTTTCCTGTTGGAATTAGAGGACATTTAAAAAAATAAAAAAATAAAAAAAAAAGAGGCCAGTCATTGAGAATCCACTTCAGCTCTTGGTAAATTGCTCCAGTGGTTAATTACTCTCACTGTTAAAAGTTTACACTCTATTTCCAGTGTGAATTTGTCTAACTTCAACTTCCAGCCACTGCATTGTGTTACACTCTTCTCTGCTAGACTGAAGAGCCAATCATCATATATAAGTTTGTAGGTAAGATCCCATGGGAAGCTAATGTAAGGGGAAAAACAGTTCAAGAGTTGGCAGTTTTTCAGAGAGACGGTATTAAGGGCACACGAGAAAACTATCCCACTTCATAGGAAAGATAGGAAGTATGGC